ATTCGCACTCATCCTTTCTTTGCAAGGTCAGCTTAAACAAGGATGAATAAGTCGCTGTAAATGTGATGGAGTGATGTCACCGATGTTGACAGTTCACGGTACCCTGTTATAGATAGATAGACAGGTTGAGTTGACCGTGATATATATATACACCTTCGAAATCCTAACTTAAAAACATACATATACACCCTACATATATTAAGCCATCAAACGCGTCCTAGTACTGCTTAACACATCCAGGCTAAAAGCGTGTAACATGCTTAGGAGCAAAACGTGCTTAGGAGCTAAATGCGTTGAAAAAATGAGACAAAGCAGGCACTGAAATGTTTTTTTACGGTGTACGTTATAATTGTGTACCTGCGTTTCTGTATGAAAAAAAAAAAAAAAAAAAAAAAAAAAAAAAAAAAACATTTCAGGTCATTTCAATGTCTTTTTATGCAAGAATGTTGTCTAACAACTGGGTTTGGCGTTGATACAACTTTCCAGTCCAATGTTAATCCAACGTCTTGTCAACGTTGAATTCAACATTACTTCAACGTTGAAACAACATGATTTTACCCGCTGGGAGAGCACTTCAGATAATTTGTGCCAGTTTACTTTTATTTTTTTAACCTCTCTTTTTCTCCCCCTCCCCCCCCCCCCAAACCCGGCATTTTTACTCCTGTAGCCCTGATCTTAATACTCATATTATGATAGATATCGGTGTATCATCACACATCACAGGATGTAAAAAGACTCCTAGCAACTGTTTGAATGAAGCAATGAGGTTTATTTGTAAAACATTTTGATTTCAGAAGGCTCAGCGTGCTGCCAAAACTTCTACCAAGGAGGGAGGGGCAAGTAAATATTAAATGTATATATTTTTTTCTTCCATTTTTAAAAATTTTATTTATATAGTTTAATTTATTTATATGATACGATGGCAGTTAAGCTTATCATATTTTTTAAAAATTTAATTCATTGAAAAGTATGCCTTAGACTGCAGTGTAGTAAAAATTAATGTAATTAAAAAATAATTTCTTAAAGAAATGTGAAATAAAGTATAATGAAAATACTAATGTTGATGGTTCAATTCTGTTGAAGGCCAGAAAAAAGAAGGCAGTACAAAGGAAAAAATTATCCGTGTCCCTGACCATCTCAAGGTTGACGATGCAGCCACACAAAAGAAAGCTGCCAAGAAATTAGAAGGACAACACGGGCCCCAGAGGGCCGCCACTGAGAGGAAAGTGGGTCTGTTCAGGCACCTCCAGCAGTTTGAGAGAGGCACCTCCCGGACTCAGGCTATTCAGAGTATAAGCATGGATACAGTGTAGCGACGTGATCAGAGAGGAACCAATTTAGGTTGAATTCAGGCTAACTTGTGATGATTTATAATATTTATCAGTTTAAGGTGATAGTTTTATATAAGTCACGATTTAAGAATCTTTTCTTTGCCATGAATCTAATTCTGCATGAAGACTACCGAAAGACTTTTTTTTCAAAAATACTAACAACTAGCTTGCTGGGGTAAATATAATTGATGAATTCTGTAAACAGCTTGAATTTTAAGAGTAATATTATTGTTTTTCTAGATTCTCAAACAATGTTGCTATCCACCCCGCTATCTTAAAGCTGGGCTTACAGTATGTAGAGGGGGTGGTGTGTGGGTCCAACGCAAGGTGTAAGCAGGTGGGTATGGATTGGGTCTCTCTTGAACAGTGGCTCACTCTTGTTTTTGTTTTTTTTTTTTTTTTTTTTTGATATTAATATGAAATAGATACATGACAGTACGAGAAATATAAATAAAGCAGAGTGAAATCCCAGATATACCAAGAATGAAAACTCAGATACGTCCTTTTTTCTCTTTAATGTGTTAAAAATTATCCAAAAAGATTTCTATGCATGCATTTATGTTTTACAAATTCTTCACAGGTCATTCGTGACTTTACCACACCTCCCCAAAAGGAGCCAGCCAGAGATTTAGATAACAGAATAAAGCCATCCATAAGGTAGGACAAGACTGACAGGTCTACTTGCTATATACTTGATGCGTTCCTTTGTGTAAGACAATAATTACCTTGACGAAGTCACTATTTTCTGTAATTGTTTGATTATTTTCCCCCAGGTTGAAAGTTCCGAAATAGACTCCGACACATATTTTGGCTCTTTGANTTACCTTGACGAAGTCACTATTTTCTGTAATTGTTTGATTATTTTCCCCCAGGTTGAAAGTTCCGAAATAGACTCCGACACATATTTTGGCTCTTTGAATTTCAGTAACTATATTTTCAAAGTCCCACCTGGTTATCATCCTTAATATATATATATATATATATATATATATATATGTAAGTTAATATTTAATATATTTCTATCCCAGGTTGTGTTGTTTCAGTCTCTTTGGGGAATGTTTTCAAAGCTCTCAAGTGGACAGCAAAAAATTTAAATTTTCAGTTAATCTTTTCAGTGTCTGATGCAGTGCCAGCCCATTACAGCAACATAGTAGTGGAAGGGCTTTAGCTAAAGCTATCAAATGGAAAAATACAATGAATATAAATCTATGGAATAGTGCAACATTAAAAAAATCTTATTCTTTTCTTCAGTGTCTTGGCCCAGTGTCGGCCAATTTCAGTCAGTATGGGGAATGCTATCAAAGCACTCAAGTGGCACATCAACCATACACCAAGTGAGATGCCAGACTCGGAGTGTTTTTTTTTTTTTTTTTTTTTTTTTTAACAGTTTAAGCTTAAGCACATCCAGGGTCTTAAGACCACCAAGCCATTAATGCCTATAATGTATTTCCAAACAAGCCAAATTCATGTCTGTTTGTGGTCATACAAAATACTTATATGTCTGGATGGCTGCCAGGTTAAAAACTTCTAGCTTACTGGCCATTCAGAGTACCAGAAGTCATATAATCTGCTGGCCCAAATCTGGATTCTCTGGTCCAGATATGAATTTCAATAAGACTGGATATTTATGCCTGTTACATTATACCTTGATTTTGACAAATATGACTTTTAAATAAGTTGTTGCCTCTTATAGGTCTATAAAACCGTTTGGCATATTTGGCTTTGAGTCTTTAAGCTTGGGCAATTCATCTCTGCAAATAAGTTGTGTACTTCAGGTTGGTAATTTCATATTTATGTGATTTATATAGTGTTTGGTAGAAATCTTTTACACAATTTCTCTTAAAAATGAAATTTTAAGGTAATAAATATGGAAACTGTGAGGAAAATTAAAGATTTCGTTTTTTTCCCCAGGCCAAAAGAAATTTGGATGAAGTTATTGAAGATTTGCTGCAAGAAAAGATAGTTTTAGCTGGAAAAGCCATATCTCTAACTGCTCTGCAGAAAATCCGAGATGGGGATGTCCTTCTAGTGTTTGGTTGGTGACTGGTGAACACTTTTTTTAGGTTTGATTATTCTTTTTCAATTTTTTGAACAAACTTTTTCTAAGTTGGGATAGTTATACTAATGGTGAGAGTTTTAATTTTTTTCCTAATAGTGAAACATATTTAGTTTAAACATGTATGCTAAACATTTGCTTCTCTTTTCAGCTCTTCTTTGATCCGGAAGATACTCTGCCATGCACACTGCAAAGGAAGACAGTGTTATCGTCGTTGATGGTTGTCCAAAGTTAGAAGGGCGAGAGATGCTCCGTCGCTTTGTTAGACATGGCATTAAGTGTTCTTATGTTCTCATCAATGCAGCTTCTTACGTTATAAAGGAGGCCAGTGAGAGGGGTGTTTCCAGGATTTGGGTACAGGTGAAGACTGGTGAAGACTCACAAAAAATAAACCTACTTGGACAACTGAAAACAGTGCGAGAACCTTAGCCTCCTGAACCTGGTCTATGGCGTTACCATGGTGTTTACGGAAATTAGGGTCATTCCTTGCACCTCCGTACCAGTTGTCTTGAGGGTAAAGCAGACGGAGACACCCCAATGAGCATGGGTAGGCAGATACAGCGCCATCTTTTTTTTCTGAAACACGGTGGATTCAGATTCAGTCTTTTTTGACAAAGGAAGAACCTATCTATCCCAATGGGGATTGAGGGAGGGGGTGGAGAGAGGACACAACGAAGCTCATGAATCATATTTTTTAAAGGGGCATACTGGAATGCTAAGCATTTTCCTTGGGTGTGGGGTAGAAGCAGTGGCTGCCCCTTTCCACCCCCTGCCCTCCACTTGGTATCTTTTATCCAGGTTGGTATCTTTTTGATGGAATGACTCTTTAAGAAGATATATATAATGATTGATAATACATTTCTGCCACTTCTTAAGATATTTAATTGGTTTGTATTCTAACAAATGCATTTATGTACAACAATCATGGAAAAGAAACCTAAAGTGATTGAAGATGTTGTTGTCATTTTCTAGCTTCAATCTTAATTTAAAAGTCTAATATCCTTGAACAGAAGCAATACTGATAAGGTATTTTATTCCTTGAGTAGGTAACCAGTGTCTGTTTAAAAAATGAAAGGCAGAAATAATGAAATTCAAAAGTGAATGAATGTAAAAATGCGTCTCAAGCCAACCTAACAAGTACCCTCCACTCTGTTCTTGTTTCTAGGCCGATAACCGTTACCAGTGTGGCAGAATTAGGNGTGAACCTACAAAGACCAACAGATCCCTGGATCAAGTATGGCCGACCTACTTGAATGCTTGTTGTGAAATCCCTGCAGGGAATCTATTAATTGTCTTAAAAGGGGTTGCACAGCAAGCTTTTAAGTGGGTTGGCCATATTTGTTCTGCAGGTCACCTAGTTGACACTATGAACAGCATGTTAACCAGAGCAGTGCACAAAGGTCAACTAACACAATATCTCAACTTATACAATGCATAATGTCTCATCTAACACGATATTCTGTGAAAATATCCTTTGTTAACCTGTACTATGTACACTGGCTCATCAAACACGACATCTTGGGACAATACAGTAATTATTTTATCTGTTTCAGTAAAGTGTATTATGTCTTTGTTGAGGGGATGGTCAAAGTTTGCCTTTGTACATTTAAATGTCTCACCTAACACAATGTTTTGTCTCAACCAACACGGTTCACACTGTCTCCTCAAAGAAAATGACCATATCTCATCTAGCACAGTGTGTTTTGTCTGACTTGACAATTCACTTTCAAGTACATATTTTATTTTATGTAATAGACAAAATAACACTATGATTCATTCAATTAATTCCAGGCTACAAAAGTCTTCTTAGGTGCTCACGCTTTGTTAGCTAATGGTTATGTCATGTCCAGAGTGGGAACTTCCAAGATCTCACTCCTGGTTAAGGCGTATGATGTGCCAGTCATGGTGTGTTGTGACACCTACAAGTTCTGTGAGAGAGTAAAGGCAGAATCTTTTGTTGCTAATGAATTAGGTGAGTATTTTTTTTCTTGTCGCCTTCACAGCAGTGGACTTAAGGGATTGTTGCACAATCCCCGCGGTGAATCTATTCAGTGTCTATCAGTGGATTAGGTGGCACGCTTTTAAGTAGGTCGACCATATTTGATCCATGGATCTATTAGTCCACTATTAGTCAATTTGTTCTGAATGCGACCTGTCTCTCTCTCTCATCATGGTGTTTAACGATGCTCAGCAGACTGTAGCATAATCATCAACAGAAGACGAACAAAACAGCCACCAAAAATCAAACATAGTCTGTTTCTTTAAGATGGGCTAGAAATTTAACATACTTAAATCACAATCCAGGAGACCCTGGTGACTTGGTAAGACTCACAAAAATGAAACATACTTGGACAACTGGAAACTGTGCAAGAACAGTGCTGAAACATGGTGGATTCAGATCCAGTCTTTTTGACAAAGGAAGCACCTATCTATCCCAATGGGGATTGAGGGAGGGGGTGGGGAGAGGACACAACGAAGCTCATGAATCATGTTTTGTAAAAGTGGCATACTGGAATGCTAAGTGGCTGCCCCTTTCCACCCCCTGCCCCCCACTTGGTATCTTTTATCCAGTTTGGTATTTTTTTGATGGAATGACTCTTTAAGAAGATATATATGATGATTGATAATACATGTATGCCACTTCTTAAGATATTTAATTGATTTGTATTCTAACAAATGCATTCATGAGTAGTATAGAATCAACGCGACAGTTACCATCGGTGGGTGGATTGTTTTTTTTGTTTGTTTATATATTTGTTTGTTTGTCTTTCTGTCTGTCTGTCTGTCTTTTTGCTTGTTTGTTTGTTTGTTTGTTTTTGAAGGAGGTGTAATTATGGCTACCAATGCTTTTTTAAATTGGTTTTAAAGTCATTTATTTTTCTTTGTTTTTGAAAATCTTGTCTGTTTTGATTTTCAGTCTCGTCTCATCTTATAGGTAAAAGTGCGCTTGCACTGATGTTTGTTTCAATAAGCGGGTATACAAACAATTACGCTAAGACGCGCAGTGGACATAGTCCGTATTTGATCGCTCAAGTGCCCTTGTACTCAAACAGGTGTATCAAATATTGCTATGTCTAAGACCGCATTCTCAACGAATTGAGCCAGGCTTTACAAATCCTGGGAGCTAAAAATGGCGGATGTACATGAAAGAAAAAACGCCTAATCTTTTAATAGTCTCTCCGCCTCTCACACGCCTCCCCACACGTCGTCCCTGCGTGGTACAGTAATTAAATCTCGGCTCCGTTCGCCATGCGGAAGCTACCTGAGAAATATTAAGTGCGCATGCTCATTGGTCAGTTATTGGTCATCAGCTAGTTCCCCTTCTTCAGTTGAAAGTGTGGAACAAGGCAAACATCAGCATAAGAACGAACTGCGCCCTTTGACGAGACTGCATACGCAAAAATTCTGCCCACCTCCAACTCCGTCTACTGGGGCTGGGTACCTCTGTGAATATCTCCGTGAATATCTCTGGTGATATTATCTCCGTAGATAGTCGATTCATTGCTGCTCTACGGGCCAATTCATTCCTTTTTCGACTCTGTTTTGAAAGATAATAGAATAGAAGAGCTTTTTTCCTTCGATCGCCTTCAGCCGCCATGCTTTCTTCACCACGAGTTTGACCTGGATTTTGGCTCGTGCTGCCTTAAGATTTTTGTACGATCTACGTAAGGTGAAAGGTTATATGTTTGACAGGATTAAAATTGCGTGTTTTCAAAACAGGACAGATAACGTCTCTGAAAACTGGCATCTTCATCATCACCCTTAATACAAATTCTTAAAGTACTTTTTATCATTTAATCTCAAATGAAAAGAATTTTAGCCCAATTGGTTAAATTATCAGTAAGGATACAAAGGATATATTAAAAGAAGTACCACTGAGTGTGAAAATATCCATCTTATATATATATATTTGCACCAGATTTTTGTCTACCACGTCGAAAATAGCTTGACGTTATTGGGGAACTTTTTCAAGTCTAGGGTCCAGAGAAGTAACGTTAAGGGCACAAAACTTCACATCATTGTTTCAGAAAATGTCTGGGTTATAATCTNGACCAATTGTCATGAACTGTCCAGTTCCAGATCCTGTTGACCCTAGTTTACTCTACGTTGCCTGTTTTGAAACGATATAAGAGGTTTCAGTCTTGCTACCCTGCTGTACACTCTCTGAGCATGTAACCGACGCCTAGCAATTTTCACAGACACATTCTTATGTGTGAAATTGTTCCACTGTGTTGTCAACTGACAAGCAGTGTCGAACTTTGACAACCTGGACATCAAAATCAGTCGTCGGTCTTCACGGCCAGTATTTTTTCTTGGACGACCCATCAGAGGCAATTTGTCTCTTGATCCAGTGTTTCTATACCGAGACCAGACCCTCTGCACGGTTCTGACTGAACAATTCAATTGTATCGATATTCTGACATTGCTTATATTCCGCCTCTTCAGGTTAATAACTTGCACCTATAACCGTTAGATAATTGCCTGTATCTTGCCATATTGGAGGAAGACAGGAATAACATTTGCTGTACATGTACAAGACCAACAATACAATTCAATGGTATAGCGGTTTTATACTCATTAGTCACATTATAAGTAGACCAGGCATTATAAATACCCAAGATCTGCCTACTTTTGTTACTCTGAGTTAGGGGGTGACACTTCTTTTGTCCAGTGTGTGTATATATATATATATATATATATATATATATATATATATATTTGCACCAGATTTTTGTCTACCATGTCAAAAATAGCTTGACGTTATTGGGGAACTTTTTCAAGTCTAGGATCCAGAGAAGTAACGTTAAGGGCACAAAACTTAACATCATTGTTTCAGAAAACGTCCGGGTTTTAATTTGCTTCTCTCCACAGGTTATCGTACTGTTTATTGTCCCAAGTCATTGGATAACCTGTGTAATTTTCTTTGCAATAAAAACACCAGTACTGATCTCATGATCTCTGCTTTTCTTAGCGCGTATAGTT